GAGAGTTTACGATGAAACATAAGAATTACAAATAAAGCCATGTTCATCGAACTATCTTTAGCATTAGTATTGAATGATGCATTAAGGTAAGGGAAAAGAAAAATTCTTAAAACACCAGACATTATTGATAGGACCTAAAATAACAACAAAAAAATAATCATTCGAGGTTATTTATCAACTTAGCATATGTTCCAGCAAAAAATGTATTCATACCAATGTAATTGAAAGAATAATTAGAAGTTTATTTCTTGTACTTCTAATTTTTGGATTTTGCTTAAAAACCTCAGCTGTAGAAGATTGTATCATTATTTCTTTTCTTATAGCGAATGGAATCTTTAAACAAAATAGTAAGACGAATAATTTCAATAGATTGAGAAATATCCATTTCAATTGATCGTACATCAAGAGATGATTGAACTAAATCAATTGTTCATATGTTGATTCATTACGAATAGTATTTGCAATATAAGTAGAACATTGTTGGTTTTTTTGCAAAAAAATTCGAATTGTTTTGACTAAATTTTCAATCATTGATGGATCATAAACAACATCTAAATATCCAGAAAATAATTTCAGGGGAAAACAAATAAAATATGTTGATTAACATGCAGCTAAAACACAATCAAAATAATTATGATGATTGTTCTCCATTGAATATTGGTTCCAATCTAATTCATCAATTTTCATATTTTCCTAAACTAAGAAATTGTTAGAAAATTATTTATATTCTATTTATGAAATTACATCAAGCTGATATTTAGAAAAATTTTATAAAGTTAAACCAAGTAAACCTGATACAGCACCAAGTTCAATGATACGTCTATGAAAAATAAATCGAAATTTGATAAATAAGAATTCATAATAAATACTTATTTTCTAGAAGATGTATTCTTTTCATCAAATAATCACCAAGAGAGATCGCTGCCGGCCAACTTGAAAGACCAGTAAGACCATGACTAAGTAATGCTGTACTTTGTCGATGTATAATGAATTGATTATTATCCTAATTTTGATATGTACAATTTTACTTACAAGTATATAGATAGTATGACACCATTCTTGTTCACATGATTTTTGACTTGCTAAATCAGCTATTAATTCATACCATCGACTATTTATTTCAAGACTTTTATGTTTTTCAAGCTAAATAAAAATAAAATATTTTGTCACGTAATATAATCAAACAAGCATACCCATTTAATAATTGTCTTAATAAAAGTTTCGCGATATTTAACACGAATAGGCCAATAAGTAAATATTTCTGAAATTCTTCTATAGTTTTATTAAATTCTAAATACCATTTCTAAACATATAAATAAATAATAAATATAAATATCAATCAATTAACTTCGAGTATATCTGATGTAATTTTAATACTTCGTCCATAGTATGCTGCTGATGTAGTATGAATAAACATCTAAAAATTTCAGTTCAATTTGCAAGTTTATTCAAAATCATTTGTCAATTATATAATATAGCAGATTTTTTTTGACGAATTTCATGAATACCAAAAGCGAGAATAATATCTTCAATAAATGTATCAGATCTTTTTGTGATTTATTCATATATGTAATCAGTTCCATCCTTGAAACTATATCTATTGTTATGATTCATTAATTTAACTTGATACTTCGATATTTTTTCACTCTGAACGTCACAAAACCGCATCATTACACACTATTTCTATTATTTTTATTCAAAAATATATTCCATTTTTAGTTAGCAACATCTTGTCTTATCAAATTTCTTTCAAAATCTAAATAAAATCAAAACATAGTTAACATCAACGATGTTGTATAACTCTTTTTTTTATCACAAATAATCTGTTAATATAAGAAAAAAAAAGCATTATAGAAAATGAAGTTAACAATAATTCATACTTTCGTTCTCTCATCTCTCATATAATTAGATGTACAATAGTTACATATGCATGCACACATACAAATACAATACACCGTGTAATAATAACTCAGCATTTTCTTTCCTTTTCAACGTCAGAGATATGCATACGTACGGAGTAAGAGAACAAGCAGGCATGTAAAAATGCACCATCATGCTTATCAACACCATCATGCTTATCACTGCACTTTTTTTTGCCTATATTAATAGACGCTTCACCTACTTTTGCTCAATTTACAATATTCTACTATACTTACCATGTCTTCACAACGACAAACAATCTACTTCATATCGGGTGCTAATCGAGGTATTGGTCTTGGATTCGTTCAAGCTCTTGCCAAACGAGCCGATACATTGATCTATGCTGGTGTACGAGATCCCAGTAAAGATGACGAACTTAAAAAATTAAATTCACAGACAAAAAATATACACATTATCAAACTTGAGTCAATTTCGGAGAGTGATGCCAAGGCAGCAGCAGAAAAGATCGAAAAGACATCTGGTTATATTGATGTTGTCATTGCAAACGCTGGTATTTTGAATTATCAAGGTCCAATCGTGACTACTCCAATCAAAGAAATTCGTGATCACTACGAAGTCAATGTCGCTGGTCCACTTATTCTCTTCCAAGCACTTTATCCTCTTTTGAGCAAAAGCAAGTCGGGTGCACCAAAATTCGTGGTCATATCCTCGGCTGTAGGATCGATTGGAGAATTACTTCCAGCGCTGACGGCAGCCTATGGAGCATCTAAGGCAGCTGTCAATTATGTGACTAAGAAAATCCATCAGGAACATGAAAAAGATGGTCTCATTGCCTTTCCCATACACCCTGGCCTAGTCCAAACCGATATGGGTAATCCTTTTGCGAAGACCATTGGGTTGGATGAAGCACCAGTGACAATTGAAGCTAGTGTTCAAGGACAATTGAAAGTTATCGACGAAGCAACAAGAGAAAAGACAAGTGGAAGATTTTGGGACTTCCAAGGAAAAGAATTGCCTTGGTAATTATTTTTATTTTGACTCTTATTCTTTCTAATAAATATTCTATGTATATGTATCGAAAAATATAAATAAATTTAAATGATGTTAATTCTGACACAGTTAAAACAATTGACCATCAATACATAGATTAACAAAATAAAATGCATATTTTCTTGGTGTTCGAAATTCGAATAGAGAGAAAATCGTACTTTCGACATCATCATCGATGTTTTCATTATGTTGTCTTTCGTTTACATGATGAAATGTTGAACGTCAGTAATTTTGACCTCCTTTGTTTCTGTTTTGGTATGATTATATTATCTTGATCTTCTCAATTAATACTGTTATATGAACTGATATTTAGCGTAGTAGTGTAATCAGGAAAAGAAAAAGTGTACGTACTAATAAGCCAAAAGTTTCTAGACACAATATTAGTGAACGGCGTGCCTGTTAGCTACTTTCTTAATGTTAAAAATCGTGAAGCGGGCTCAGTTTCACATGCCACTTCTGCACTAGCTTTCTATTGAAGAACCGTTTGGTCATTATGTGTTTTTCCATGCACAGATTGTTGATTAAAAACTGATATTTTATACAACCGATTTTTGTTAACTACTCATCTTCTAAAGTAAATCTGAATAGGACTTACATATTATTTTTAATGTTTCTTGCTATATATACGTATATTTAGTTCAACTCTTTGACAAATATTAATCACTCAGCTTTATATATGAACTTGTTCATGCTTTACTTAAAATATCCATAAACAAGTCAAAAAATAGCTATTAACAGAATCTATCCTATTTGTTAATGTCTACACTATAACTAGATATTATGACCAGTTGCGATCCAAGTAGGGAGCTTTTCAAATACTGTGGTGGTCTGAAATGAAAGAAGATAAGTAGAAATATGTAATTCTGGACATTGATAATCTTAGAAGTATTAAATTACCGATCTTCGTAACGTATTGAATTTTGTTCTATTTTATTTTTGTTGATATTTCTAATTTAACTCCTGGTGTGTCACCAGATTGGTCACTTAAACATGAGTGTGAATGTGAGTGTAACTATTTTCTGTATGTAATGACACCGACACCTTCAAGTTTTTTTCATTTTACTATTTTCTTTTTATTGAGACTGATGAAGCAAAACTATGGATAGTTTTACTTCCAGTGAGAAAACAAACAGGATTCGTTTCTATTGATGAAAAATAGTGAATCTATTCTATGAGACATGAAAATTTTCATCATTTTCATTTTTCTATCAATCATAACATTCATAATACTATATGCTAAAACTGTTAATGTGAGCTCGGTTTATTTTTGAATAATAATCATAATCGTATAAATAAAAGAAGAAGAAAAGAGAAAAGAACATGTACGTACATATATATTGAAATCGATTATCAATAAAACTAGACAATGAAACATGTAAGAAAAGATTTTCATCATTTCACAAATTCACTAAATAATTGTATATTAAATAAAACTACAATTGAACAGTTTTTTGGAAGATAAAAGCGGCGTTGTGCTCATATATCTCTAATATCGAAAGGATTTTGTACGTCGAGTGGACTGTCAGGAGGTGTTCTGGCCGATGGGCATACTCGATAATGCAGATTTAAGACTGTTTGTAATAGACGACGTCTTATAGGAAGCAGTTTTAACCATATGAAGAATATTAGCGACAGACCACACATGACTGCAAATGTCACAAATAAACCAGTCATTACTTCAATGGACGAGCTAGTAGATGTGTCTGATGTCTGAGAACAAGTATTTGCTTGAAACCATTTGCTTTTCAAATCATCAAATGTTCCTGATTCTCTCAATGATAATATGTTCACATCTAAAACTTGTTCATATACCCAATTTTTCTGGAAAACAATACCAAATGCACTGGGATCAAAACCTGTTCCAACTAAAGTTAAATTACAATAAATACTATTCGTTTCATATTCTAAAACACCTTCATCCATAATGGCTGCATCAATCACTTTAGACAGGAGACTAGTAAATATTGCTCCTTCTGTTTTTAATGGATAAAAGTTTCGAATACCATTAGAGATTTCTTGTAAATAATAAGCTTCAATGGATGAATTAGTAAGAATACCAATGCGACCATATGGTATTTTTCCATTTTTAATATCATCTATTCCCGAAATAATGTTTTGTGTTTGTTTAAGAGTTAAACTAGATGTTAAAGTTGCCTGATATGTTGCAATTAAGACAAGACTTAAAAAGAATACACTAAAAGTTAAAAATCGACCAGCACCTGTTCTCACAGTATAATCCACACCAAATCCCATAATTGTACCAAGAGGATACCATGTACTCATAACAATTCCAGAAATGATTGATCTATGTCTCAATGTTTCATTGGCTTTTCTTTCGAATAAATACATTAATAGAGCAGACAAGATAATAGAACCCAAGATACATAAGCGAACTCCCATTGAAAATGGTCTTAAATAAAACCAAAAATTTGGACTAGCCGAAGCTGTATTTCGAACAATGATTCGTAATGAATTGTCATAGATTGAATCGGTGAAAGAAACTTTTTCTCTTCGTGCAGCAATAATTGTCACATCACCTGCTACTATATCATAAACATTATTTGCTACATCGTCTATTAGTCCATCGTAGCTTTGATTTGCTGGCAAAAATGTAATATTTGGAATAAATCCCATATTTGTTTGTAAAATAGCAAGAAGATCAGGTATATATCCGATTAATTTCGTTGTTATTATTCCATTTGCATCTGCTACTTGTTGGGTCATTGTAAACGGAGGCGCTTCAATTACAGCAATTCGCAAGATTACACCTGCAATTGTTGCATAACCTGTGGGAGCTACTAATGACTGTCCAGGCCATATAATCGTATTTTGTTGTGAATGTGGTGTCCAAGCATCTGAACTAGACCATACTAATACTGGAACATAATTTAACTCATTTGATAAGCTCTGAATATTTTTTACAATATAATAAATACCACTAACTCGATCCGTTGAATTAGCACTAAATTGTACTAGTCCAGATACACCAAGAAATGTGTTATTGTTAATTATATCAAATAGTGAACTGGAATCAAGTAAACGTCGGTTAAAACAAAATGAATCATTCACAATTGATAGGCATGGAGAAGAATGATTATTAGTGATTGAACAAAGTTGTTCTAATGATCGGATCAATAACCAAGTTGCATCAAATGTAAATAATGCATAGGCATTCACATTTTCTGTTCCAGGAAATGTTTCAGGTTCATATTGTTGCCATACATCATATGCTGCATTTAATAATGTTGTATTTGTTGGTTCATTTACAGCACTTGCAACTACAGGCTCTATAGTCAATATTCCAATTAACTTTGCATTATCTGCTTGACTAAAAGAATTTAATTGAACAGTTGAACTTAATATCCATATAAACTGTGGTCCAAGTACATCACAATCTATTGCCTCTTGTAAAATTAAAGATGCATAATCTGTTTCGGCCCATAATATAACATTTCGCATTGGACTACTAAGTAAGAGAGCTTTTAGATCACCTCGAATAGTACGTGCCACTATATCAAACATTATCATTTGTGTAATTGTCAAATTATTATTATTGAATGCATCAGTTATTACTTTTGCTCCATCAGATCCATATGCATCATTTTGATAGATAATTATAGATGATGTCCAATTAAATTTCATAAAAAGTTGAGCAATTGTTAATGCAGCTGTAGTATCTGATGGAACTGTACGATAAAAAGTAGGATAAGCTCCTCGATCAGATAGGCCAGGATCTGTTGCAGAGTAGGATACAACAGGAACAGAAAGTTGTGCAGCAAAAGGTGCAATAACTTGAGTTTCTCGAGAGAATGTTGGTCCCACAATACCAACTATGTTGGAAGTTGATATTAATAGACATGAACTGCTAAGAGCATTCATTGTTATGCCACCACTTGCTACTAGCTGTGAACCAATAAATTGTCCATCAATTGTTATATTATATTGCTGAGAAAGCAACATTGCTGCGTTAAACATTGCACGAGACCAAAGAGTTCCTGGAGTGGAATCATTCATATTCAATCCATTGCCAAAAATGCCCAATAATTGTATATTGGTGGAATCAGATGTAGGCCAAGCCGTTTTCACATTTGATATAGCAAATTGACCAATTAGAAGATATACCCACAACCATCTTAAACTCCACAAAGATGACATCAAGATTTGTTTACACTAAAGATCTAATAGATGAATCAAATCTGAAGAAAAAGAATGAAACTATACGAATACTGAAATATATTAATTCGGAAGTGACACCTTACACTCATATAGCTATAGTCGTATGTTTACTTCATTAGTATTATACATACAATATCTTAACTTGCGAATTAGTTTAGTTTCTTTTCGCAACATTTAATAAAAAATAGATATGTCAATAGTGTGTATTTTTATTGTGTTGATTAATCATAGAGAGAGGGATGTTGTATTTCTTCTTACTTAATTGACTTGTAAAATAGGAAATTAAAAAACAAGATCTTATTAAATTTAATGCAGAGAAACTATAGCAATAATATCTAGATAAAAATGATCACTTACTATTATTTGAATTCACTGTTCCTTTTTCTATAGGTATGTACTTACTCGTAAAGCTCAGTTTATACTTAATCTCAATATAAGAGAGAAAGTAACAAACTAAAATGAGTAGGAAGTAAAGCTATTTTATATATAACACTCACCTGGTATATATAAAACTGTAAAAAAAAACTTCATATTCTCTAATGAGCAGATAATATAGATATGTGTACATAGGTAATGGCTGTATGTATATATACGACTTGATTATTTCGTAATTTTTCAATAATGTACGCTTGAATGCATACAGACACGCCTTCTTTTCGTTCTCTTCCTTCTTGGTTTTTTCCCATAAAACGTTCTTTCTAAGTAGTTGATTATTTTTCTTTTTCTTCTCCCAGGTATCTCCATCATCACTTCCTTCATAGATCATTGGTTGCACTTTTACTTATTTTCTTGGTTTTTTCCAACTTTCTTGTGATTTGTCTACCTCATTCATGTATACAAATGTACGAAAAGTCATGCTCACGTAAAAAATACGCTTAAACACAACTAACGACATCAATGTAATTTTTGATTTTGTCTTGTTGGAAAACGTAAAACATAAGTGAATTATTGGTATTAGGCATTTCAAAATTTTTGCGACATTTTTGATTTTACTTACATCTCAACGTTGGTAAATAGTCAACCCTTGAATTCTTTTTTAAAAAATGGGCAATCTTGAGGGTGTGAGCACTTGTTATTCATATACACTCGTATCCAAATCCTCACTCAGATTCGTCCTTATAATGGCAGCAATAGCCTGTTCTGGTCCAGCGTCAAGTTTATGTGCAATGCTTATTTTGTTCGTACAGTTGGAGCCACTATAGTGCTTCAGTTATGGTATTCCATAACGTGATTAGGCAGATCTTAATAATATAACTGCAGCTCAAACATTTCATGTTGTACATCTAGTCAGTCCACTGAGTTTTTCTTTCTTTTAGACTTACGATACATAAATATTTACAAACATTCGACCATGTACTTAGATGCCCGGAAAAAGTGATATGAAACGTAGTCTATCCATTATAATCATGTTGAATGGCGACACCTTATGGCTTTTAGGTTATTCTAAGATGATTTTCTTTTATGGTTACGATACAAACCAATCATTAAAATATCAATGATTAGAAAAGTTTATTTCATTATTAAATCTTATTTATCAATTGATTTAAGTTAAATATCTAATACAACGCAGATTGAGATGAAAAAAGATATTAAACTAAACATATAAATCATTTGTTCAATGAATTATAATATTCGATGATAATTTAAGTATCAAATAACAGCTTGCTAATCTATTTTTTTCTCAAAAGAATAATAAATCAAATTCCAGATAAAAATCTAAAATGTTATTTAAACAAATTTTCAAACGTCTATCTTCTATAAAATCATCTATTCGAACATTTTCCTATACAACTCGTTTATATAGTAAAGAATTCAATGATCGTCATATACAAAGTCTTATCGATGACCAAGAATTTACTTCCATGTCAGCTGCATTACTTCATATACGTTCAGCTGGTCACCGTATTTATATTATTCAACCATCAATGAAATTTAAAGCACGTGGTCGTCAATCAACAACAGCTCAATTACAATTATCTGAATCTATATCACTTATTCAAACATTAGATAAATGGCGTGTTGTTGGTCAAGGAATATATACATTAAAATCTAGTGGTTTAAGTCGATATGTATATGGTACAGGTAATATTGAAAAAATACAAAAGGAAATTCGTCAATGTCAAGCAACAGCTGTATTTATTTCAATTGATCGTCTTTCACTTGGACAAATTGATGGATTAACAGAAAAATTTCGTGTACCTGTTTATGATCGATATTCAATTGTTCTTCAAGTAATAAAAAAATTTTTGTTTCTGTTTAATAAATAAATATTTATATTAAATAGATTTTTAAAAATCATGCACAAAGTGGTGCAGCTAAATTACAAGTTGCTCTAGCTGAAATTCCTCTATTGAGATATCGTAAAAATGATTCGGAATTATTTAAAGATCGTGAACGTCATCTTCGTGCTGAAGTAGCTAAATTAGAACAACATCGAAAATTATTAAAAAAACGTCGTTTAAATATTGATATACCTACTGTTGCTGTTGTTGGATATACCAATGCTGGCAAAACATCATTGATCAAAGCATTAACTAAAGATGCAACAATGCAACCAAAAAATCAATTATTTGCTACATTAGGTATATCAATAACTATTATATAAGAATAAAAAATCGTTCGCAAAATAATTCTGTTTATTATAGATGTAACTACACATGCTGGTGTTTTACCAAATGCATTAAATGTACTTTATATTGATACTGTTGGATTTATTGGTAAGTAAATATGGATATACGTAATTAATAAATTATTTCTTTTTTTGTTCATCTAGCTGATATACCAACAACATTAATTGAAGCTTTTCGTGCAACATTAAATGATGCGATTGATGCTCATTTATTAATTCATGTTTGTGATATTAGTCATCCGGATTATTTTGTACAATATAAAACAGTATTACAAACTTTACAGGAACTTAATGTTCCTCAATCAAAAATTGAATCGATGATTACGGTTTTTAATAAATATGATCTATTAGGTCAACAATCACCAGAAGAAAATCAAGATAAACCAAATGAAGAGAGTAAAAGTGACATTAAAGAGAGAAATATATTCTCACAAATACATGATAAACTATGTATTTCATGTCAAACTGGTCAAGGTCTGGATGAACTTGTTGATTTAGTACAAAAAAGAATTTTAATTGTAAGTGATCGTATTACATGTGAATATCGTGTTTTACAAGGAGGACAACTTTATCAAACACTTGTTAGTGGTGATTTATGTACTATTAAAACTATGATTGTTGATGAACATGATCCACAATATATTCATTTAGAATGTTTTTTTTCAAAAACTGCTTATGCAAAATTTCAAGCTCATTATCCTGGTGCATTGAAATATCAAATAGTGTGAATGATTCATAGATGAAATTATTTTATATTGTGTTGAATAGAAAAAACAAAAATAAAAATGATTCTATTCATAATTATAATATGTCTAGTTTTTTATTAAGACAAATTAGAACTTTTTCTTTTTCAAGTACAAAAGATAAAAATGAATCTGTTGATTATACTGTTTGTGTATTATCAATATATGTTAATTATTGAGTTTTAAAATATCTCAGAGAAATTTAGGTCAATCGCATTCATGTCAACTGTCATAGTCAGAAAACCGGAATTCTAATGTGAAAATCCGGAAAATTCTGGAAACTTTTTTTTGTTAAATCGGGAATGGTTTTTAACAGTTAATTTCTACCGGCCAAAATAAATTTCTCTAAATCTTGTTCTCAATTATACCACTTATTATTTTCAAAAAACACATGTTTAACTATATCAAAAGAAAATCCACATCAAAATTCGAAATATAATAAACTAAATATATGAGTATAAACCACTAAGCGCTGTTAAATGAAAAACTTTTTTTTGAGTATTAACAGATAAATAAAATTTAGTTCAATAAAAATAATCTAAAATCCGGAAAAAATCCAGAAAAAATGGGAAAATCCGGAAGAGTTGGCAACACTGGTCAATCGTAATTATATATTCCAGTCATTTATTGATTATACTTGCTCAATTTGAATTAATATGTCTGAATTTGAATTACTTTTTTTATATAAATATTACTATATAGATAATGTTCTAAATAAAATGTATAAGTCGACCATGTCAGTTATCATCATGAAGTAGGTTGTAAGTTAAGACATGCTTCATTATGATCATCAACAACAATATCAATCAGAGTCTGTTGATATTGGTTGCTTTTTCCTTCTCTATTCTGTATATTTTTTTCCTTTCTATCGACTCAAGAACGACTGTATACCAAATAAGGAAAAAAGGTTATCTATTTTGGATGTAATAGGATGCGTATCATATTATTTCTACGCTTTTAGCCTTTGCTATAACTCTATGATTCATCAGTCGATCTAAGAGGTCTATATTGATATATTTTTCTATCATGTGTTTACAATAAAATAGATTTTTTTATGGCAGCATTAAAACGTTCAGTTGATTTAAGTAATGAAGAATTTAAACAAGCTTGGGAAGATGTTAGAAATGATGCAACAGATACGAATTGGTATAAAATATAGTTTCATAGATTTCGTAAATTAATTTTGTTTACATTCCAAGGATTTTATTAGCTTATGGAGAACATGGTGAAATTCAACTTCGTGGTAAAGGTCCAGGTGGATTAAAAGATATGAAAAGAAAACTTCATGATAATCAAATATATGTTGGTGTTATTCGTGTTAAAGCAGTCGATGAGCATGGAAGTCATAGAGCTAAATTTGTATATATCAATTATGTAGGAACGAACGTAGTAAGAATATTTCTAATTTGTTGTTTTTTCCGAATATACATTATTTTTCTTAGCCTACATTACGTGCTGCTCGAGCTTCAACACATAAATCTGATTTTGAACGATTTTTTCATGGTTATCATATTCAGATATATGCTAATTCTCTCGAAGAAATATCCGAAGAAAATATAACTGCATTATTACAATCCTGTGCTGGTGCACATCGACCTCAAGCTTATGAATTTTAATAATTATTTATTCTTTTTTGTCCTTGCTTATGGTTGATCATCTTTTGTTAGACTTTTGTATTTTATCTTTGATAGATCGATCAATCTAATAATTATTTATTGTATAAAATTTTCATAAAGCTAGATATTAATAATGAAATTCGAAATATGTAAAATAATACATCTAAGTTTCTTTTTTATAAAGATTAAAAGAAAACTTTAAACTTATGACCCTCTGATAAGTTAATATGACATTTGTTTTATATCTTGAAAACTCATTTCCGTTTATTTATAGAAGAGAATCATATTGTATATTCTATTTTAATACTAAAAATCTTTTCTAATTTTAACATTCAGAAATTTGCACAAGAGAAAATCAAATGACATATGTTTAATAATAAAAAATATCATTGTTTTTTTGTACACAACAAAATTTTATCATACCAGCTGTTTTAGTTATTTTTTAATTCTAATGACATTATTACGATTCTATTAATCCTCTTCTTACAATATAATCAAATTAGAAAGTGGGTGTTTATATTCAAAATTATCTTAGCTATAATAAATATTTAATCATCATTCTCATTCATGATATTATAACAAACGTGTCAATTCATTCAGTACTTTCACTGACTATTGATAAGTTTCGCACCTTAAACAGTGAAAATTTCAATTGCACTAATTAATCTATATAATATAGTTTGAACCCAGATACTCAGAAACATATAGTTACTTTAATTAAAATCTAACTTTTCATCATGAATTTTCTATAATATCACTTTATAAAAAAAACAAGAGTAACGTCAATGCAATTTTATGGATTTTCATATTATATGACTTCAGTAGAATAGACGTCATTGGGATGTTATTTATATACTATTTTTCATTAATGAATCGTTATAATTTTGTTTTCTACTCATATTTATTCACGAAACATTACAACAGTGAGAAAAATGTAAAATAAAAATGAAGCAAATAATATTTTTCTCTTTATGATTAAGTGATTTATAGTAAATCTTTCATTTAATACAAAAAGAACAATGGATGATCTCCTATTTTCCTTTATTTCTTCAAAATAATATGATTTTATTATTTTCTTAGTTTATGTACAAAGAGCATTTGAACAGCTTCTTTGAAACATGCTTCACTTTCTACACGTGATACTAATTCTCTACAACGCTTATAAGCTGCAACTAATGGATTCCAATGTGGTCGAGAATTGCGACGTTGTGGTACAGCTTGCAATGTCATTGATCGTTTAGAGTTTAAATTCCAGTCGTCGTCGTCGTTGTTGTCATCATTTATTGTAAGTATATCATCATTATTATTTTCTATCGATGGATTTAATTCATGATTGAAAGATGACTTAATTAAATTTGGATGCTAAACAAGAAAATTATTCTAAATAAATAATAATAATAATAGATTTAATCACTTACATTAATATCATATGCATAAGTTTCATAAAGAGAAGCAAATTGAATAAAGATAAAGAATAATAATATACAACGAATGTGAAATAATAAGGACATTGTTTATGCTGAATTAAAATGAGAATGAAATATCTAAAAGATTTTTTGAGTAGGATGTAGAAATATATGAGAAATATGCAAAAAACTACTGTGAGTTCTTTTTTTTTACAGTTCATATATCAGCTAAAGAATTGAGAGAGAGAGCGAGAAAAAAGAGAGAAAAACATTTGTTAAGTTCTACAAGTGCAAGAGAGAAAAAAAGAAAGAAATAGTGAGAAGTGTTGATAGACAAAAAAAATGAATACAAAAATATTACAATCATGATATAATAGAAAGCAAATATTAAATATCCTTTTTAATTAGAATATTATTATATCTATTCAATATTCCGGATATTCACATGAGATACTGATTTTATTTTCTTATTAATAGAAATAATTAATATCATTCAAATATATAATTAGAAAAAAAAAACATTTCTTTTTATGTCTACTCATTGATATATTAATTGGCGAAAGATCGTGTACGCACACTTATAGAAAAAATAATTATTTAGAGACAATACGTAACACGTTTATATATTCATTAGTATAAAAACTACTTACTTCACATTCACTTGAACGTTGTTTTCTTTTTGAAATAAAATATATTTGTTATTGCACTTCCTACGAAAGACGGAGATTCTCTTTTCTTTTTTAAATACTCATGTTAATCTGATATAGTTTTGTATCCATTTAACTAATTATAAATCAAAGCTTATAGAATAAAATTTGTTATTTGATATTGTCTGATGAATTAACGTACAATTTTATGATTAGAAGTGTCATCAGCATTAATGAAATTTTAGATTATTTAACAAAAATTATTTATGCATAGATGATTATAACAGCAGGTGAATAAAGAATAATTTATTTATCATATTTCAATGTTGATGACGTAAATATTTTCTCTACTCTGTAAATAGTATTAAAAAAAAATTATTCGAGTAAATCTACTTATTGAAGGTTTATATTACTGATCTATCGTATTGTCTTATCTTTAATACTTCCTACGTAGATTATGAAATACTAATCTTGATACATTTTTTGAAAGTCCTTGTTAAAGATTTAAAATAATCATTTAATTATACATGAACTCAATGCTTAAATGTGAAATGCTCTTATTTGTTTTTATCAAGTTTTACAGACAAGAAACAGCTGCTGTAAGTTCAAATTTAATATGGATGCCTTGTATAATATTTGTTTGATTCTCATATATCTTATAATATCAATGCCTGGTGAAACTAAATTTTGTTATTAATATTTATTCAATTGCACAGGTCTTAGAGTATATTCTGTATATGTAAAATATGTTGTTTTTTTATTTAAACCAAAATTTATTGTTTATACATAACCTTTACATAAAGCAAATGTATGATCAGGTCCAAGTGCTACGGATGTAACACGAGCAGGTACAAAGACACGCATAGGCATTGGCGCGTCTTCATCAAATTCAACACCTAATGCACCATATCGATTCTTTCCCCACATAAATAATTCACCATTGTTTGTTATTGCGGCTGTACTAAGTAAACCACATGTAACATGATCAATTTTAATATCGGCATTAAATTCATTTTGTCCAAATAATTCCATAGGCATTTGTTGAGGAACATCTATTGTTGTATGTTTAGGACCAAAACCAAGTAAACCAAAACCCCACATATATAATTTACCTTGATGATCAACAGCTGAACATAATGAACCACCAGCAGCAATACATTTAATATTCTTTAATGAAAATCCATTACGAAAATGAAGTTGTCGTGGTTGTCCACATTGTAATGATGCTGGAGAATCTATTGGATCATTTGAGATTCCTAATTGACGATATTCATTATTTCCCCAACCAAATACATCACCTGCTTTATTTAAAGCTAATACACAATCACCTTTGGATGCTATCTGAACAATATGTTCATGTTCAATATCACCACGAACACGTTCCGGTCTTGATACACATTCATAATGACCAACACCTAATTGTCCATCAGTATTTAATCCACACGAATAAACATGACCTTTTTCAGTAAGAAATAATGTATGATCTTGACCACAAACAATATCGATTATTTTATCATCATTTTCATTTAAATCAATATTAAATAAATGAATTAACATACTATTCTTATAAACTTCATCAGGTACTACTTGACGAGCACATTGACCAAATGCATTATTACCGAATGAAAAGAGACCTTAAAAAAGAATAATTTTAAGTATATATACAGAATTAATATACAATATAATCATGCTCTTATAAAAACTTTTTTTTTTATTGAAGTTTATTTTTACTTAGTCGGTCATATTAGTTCTGAAAAACGTTTTTTACAGTCATTACACTCTTAAATTTCAAGTACTGAGTAGGAAAAAGCACTCACTATGCATTACATACGATAAATGACGTCGTTTTTTTCTATTATTTTACTTTATTAGGCATTTAAGTTTTAAAACAACGTTTTTGCGTATCTAATTTTCTTGTCATTCATAATCTATTTTAGAATTTTGATTTTTTTTGAAGTTACAATGACCATCAAAGAATAAAATGTATATATTCAACTAACCTGAATTATCTGTTAAAATAACTGAATGTGCTCTACCAGCTGCTATTTGTATAATTCTTGTTGATCTTGGATGTTTAATAGGTAGATGAATTATTTTCGGTACAATTATATAATCACCAAAACCTTTTGGATGATTCCGATCTTTAAAATAAGTCAATTGACTATCTGTATTAAGACCACATGCCCATAATTTATCATATTTTAATGTATTTGATGAAAATAATGTAAAACCATTTCCACATGCTATACGATTAATTTTTATTCGATGTTCATAAGAAAATGGATGTCTATAAGGTATTGAACGACGAAGACGAGTTTGTTGTTGTGAATCTGTATGTTTTGGATTCGGTTGTTTATTAATAAAATCAAAAACACCTAATGATCCTGTTCCAATATAACCCCAACAATAAATAGATGGATAAAGATATGAACGTTCACCAACAAAACTAACAGTTGGTATAGATTTTTTTTTTGAATTTACTATATTTATATTTATAGAACGTACATATAATTTCATATAAGATTTACAATAAATATTTAAAGATTGTTGAATAATATTCATTTATTTTTTGTTTATCTGGAATCAATTAGTAATAAAAAGAAAAATAAATTACGTTTAATCTTTTGTCATCGATTAAAAATCAAAAGAAAAAAAAATAAACAATCAGTTATGATTTAAAACAAGGAATTTGATAGACTTTTGGATCTACCCAACCTTGTTGCATAACAGAATAAGGAAATGTATCCATGCCATGACAAGCAGCACCATGTTGTCCATTTTTATGAAGTGCTAATACAGCACCAGTAAAAGTTGGATTGTATTTAGCAATACGTTTTATTGCATCTGAACATGCTTCTTCAGGTGGAATACCTTGTCGCATTAATTGTATAGCATGATAAGAAGGAACAAAACGTTGCATAACATCACCATCACCTGTAGCACAAGCACCACCTATTTCATTATCAACATAAGCACCACTACCAATTACAGCTGAATCAGCAACACGACCTGGAATTTTAAATTGAAGACCATTTGTTGAAGTACCTGCTGCCATATCACCATTTGAATCTAAAGCAATCATACCAATTGTATCATGTTCTCGAGCTGGTAATTGATGACATATTGGCTTGTTACTAACTGTAAAAATAATAGAATTCAGTATTATACATATATATATATATCAATAGAGATATTACTATTTTCTAGTTTAGGTCTGTATGGGCCACAACTAGTAGCTGGATCTGGTTGTACATTACGTCGAAAATTTGGTTGACAATTTCCATTTTTCCATTGATTCCAAAGATTTATTGATGCATTACTATGAAGATCTTCTTCTTTGAAACCCATTTCAAGTGCAAATTTAGTTGCACTCTCACCAACTAATAATGAATGTGATGAATATTGTAAAACAGCACGAGCTACACCAACTGCATTTTTAATGCGATGTAAACTAAAATACAACGAAGAAATAATTTTAATATATAGAACATAATGATTATTATATCATCCATCTTTCTCACTGGAAACGAATAAATTTAGTGAAATATGCATCACAATGTCATATCCCTTATACCAAATTGTTTGTTACTGATATATCTAGTCAGTATACTCCTTATTTTAGTCGACTAACTAATAAGAAACTGATATACTTTGCAACAGCACCAGCAGTTATTGTACGTCCATCCATAATAAGAGCATCTAGTGTTGTTTCTCCATCTTCAGCTGGATGATTTCCCCATCCTACACTACCATCACACTGTTCGTCTTCACATGTTCGACAACCGACTTCAACAGCATCTAAACATGTTGCACCAGGTGTTATTAGTTTAGTAAAAGCATTTCTTGTTGCATTTACAAATGGCCATGTATTCACAACGATAGGTGATGTTGACGATGATGTTGGTTGTGTTGTACTCATTTTTATATGACAAACCAACAGAATAATCAGTAGACAAAGTAGGTTTGTATGCATTAAAGCAAATAAAATAAACGAAAAAAGAGAAACCAAATCAAAATATTTTTCATATTTATCTTTTCTTTGTTTTATATTAACAGTAAAATAAAGTGTTGATATATTTATACAGAAAGAAAAACAAGACTAAATATTATTTAACACAAAAACGATTTTTTGGTGGTTCATGAGCAGTCCAACGTTTTTCTGGATCAAATGGTTCCCAACGACATGCAGGAAAAATATGTTTA